CACAAATATGCGGCCTCTTGGTGTCTGGGCCTCGACGCCGAGCGCACACAAATATGCGGCCTCTTGGTGTCTGGGCCTCGACGCCGAGCGCACACAAATATGCGGCCTCTTGGTGTCTGGGCCTCGACGCCGAGCGCACACAAATATGCAGCCTCTTGGTGTCTGGGCCTCGACGCCGAGCGCACACAAATATGCGGCCTCTTGGTGTCTGGGCCTAGATGCCGAGCGCACACAAATATGCGGACTCTTGGTGTCTGGGCCTCGACGTATGCGGCCTCTTGGTGTCTGGGCCTCGACGCCGAGCGCACACAAATATGCGGCCTCTGTGTCTGGGCCTTGACGCCGAGCGGCCACATATTTGCATATCATTTGAAAAAATACATATGTGCTGAGAGCGCGCGGCCTGCACGCTCCCAGCACATATGTCCATGACTCATGGAAAGGTCCTGATCTCCCCTTGCGATCGGGACTTTTTCTAATCATGTGACAGCAAATCACAGCGGTCACATGACCTTAAAACCCCGCCCCACCTCCTGAAACTCTTAAAGGGCCGGGAGGCACCGGCACAAAAGGGTTAACTTACTACCGGAAGTTCCATCGCCTTCAGCAACGCACAGATCCAACATTAAAACATTTGGAACATTTATTACAGACTTCAAACACGATAAAACTGGATTGAACCTCCTCTCCGTCACAAGGACATTATCAAACCAACACGAGGAATTCCATTTAGCAGCAAATAAAACTCTAAAAAAACAGGCAAAGTGCAACCACATCATTCTGTTATAACTTCTCTCTCCAGTAATAAAAATATACAAACTCCATAAACACTAAAAACTTTACAAACTCTCTAACTCAGGAAGTTGTAGACCAGGAAGTCAGGAACTTTGCAGTAGGTGCTGGCGAAGAGCTTGCCGTCCGGTGTTGGATCTGAGAAGGCCATTTCTTCTGATGTCAGGTGAGAGCCGTAGATGAAGGAGCTCCTGGAACAGAAGATGATGGAATGAACCACAAGCCTAAAGTGACCCCATCATAAGAGAATAATGAAAGAACAATAAATTGAATACTTAATTCAGCCCCCTAGGAGCTGTTCCAGTAAATAGAAAGTCTGCTCAACACATGTCTACATTATGGCACACTTGCCCTGCAAAGTGCCCTCCGCAACATCACTGCTCCCCATGTTGACAGCGCTTCCATGCTCTTGACCATCCTAATTGGCCTGGCCAAAATGATGAAGATGCTGGGACAAAGTTACATATAGTTACATAGTTAGTCTGGCTGAAAAAAGACAAAAGTCCATCCAGTTCAACCATAGAAAAAAAACAAAATAAAAAGTTATAATCCTATACCCACAGTTGATCCAGAGGAAGGCAAAAAAAAAAAAAAAACACGCTCGGCAACTCCAAGTACACCGAGCTGCACGTGCACAGCTGTCAGTGTACAATTCATGAAAAACTGCAAGCAAAAGAAGACTTTATTGTGGGAGACACATACAAACGTCTCTATCATAAATTTTACTTCTAGCGAGAGTTTAAAGGGTTAGGGCAGCACACTGGCTAAATGGTTAGCACTTCCTCCTGGCAGTACTCGGGTTGTTGGTTCAAATCCCAGCCACGGCACCACCTGCCTGGAGTTTGCATGCTCTCCCTGTGCCTGCGTGGGTTTCCTCCGGGTACTCTGGTTTCCTCCCACACTCCAAAGACATTCTGGTAGGTGAATTGGCTCCTGTCTAAATTGTCCCTAGTATGTGTATGTATGAATGTGAGTTAGGGACCTTAGATTGTACGCCCCTTGAGTGTTAGGGACTGATGTGAATGTACAATATATATGTAAAGTGCTGTGTAAATTGACGGCGCTATATAAGTACCTGAAATAAATAGTTCACTTTTTTTTTGGGGGGAAAAAAAAAAAAAAAAAAAAAGTGAACACCATATACCAGCAATGGGCAAACACTACGGCCCGGCGGACCTTTTAATCTGGCCCACGGAGCGTGATGCAAAAAAAAAAAAAAAAAAAAAAAACAGCCAGGGCAGCGCGCTCAAATGCAATGATTGGCCAGTCTCGCTGCCACTCACATCCTGATAGCCAGTGATTGGCTGTCAGGATGTGTGTAGGCGGGGCAGCGTGACGAACGTGAGAGGAGCTAGGCTCCTCTCGCAGTCCGCCCTGAAGACTGGAACGGCGCGGGAACACGGCGAGAAGAACGCGCGGAGCAAAGGTAAGTAAATTGACACAGGGGGGACTTGGCTTACTACTTGCTACTTACTTACTACTACTATATGAGGGATGAATTAATATGGGGGATGAATTACTATGTGGGGGATGAATTACTATGTGGGGGATGAATTACTATATGGGGGATGAATTACTATGTGGGGGATGAATTACTATGTGGGGGATGAATTACTATGTGGGGGATGAATTAATATGGGGGATTAATTACTATATGGGGGATGAATTACTATAGGGGGGATGAATTACTATATGGGGGATGAATTACTATAGGGGGGATGAATTACTATAGGGGGGATGAATTACTATAGGGGGGATGAATTACTATATGGGGGATGAATTACTATATATGGGGGATGAATTACTATATGGGGGATGAATTACTATAGGGGGGATGAATTACTATATGGGGGATGAATTACTATATGGGGGATGAATTACTATGTGGGGGATGAATTACTATATGGGGGATGAATTACTATGCTTACTATGGGGGAATATTACTATACTTACTATGGATGGCATGGTAGTGGCTGGGCCGGCCAGCAGCTAGTCCGGCCCCCGGGTCCAATATATGAACCCATTGCGGCCCTCAAGTCAAAAAGTTTGCCCACCCCTGCCATATACCCTCACCATGCCCACTGTGCTTCCCTCTATGGGTGATGAGATGTCAGATCCCACGCAGCCCATGTTGCGGTCAGGGGGGTTTGAAAACCTCACTCTTCTAACTTTTCTTTCTGCAGGGCTTCCAGGAGAGATCAGAGCGATTCTGATTGGTCAGCACTAGCACAGAGCATCACTCTGATCCATCCACACAGCACTGCAGAGAGAAGAGCAGGGACCGAGAGGGTGAAGTACAGCAGGGACCGAGAGGGTGAAGTACAGCAGGGACCGAGAGGGTGAAGTACAGCAGGGACCGAGAGGGTGAAGTACAGCAGGGACCGAGAAGGTGAAGTACAACAGGGACCGAGAAGGTGAAGTACAACAGGGACCGAGAAGGTGAAGTACAACAGGGACGAGAGGGTGAAGTGCATTTTCGTTTTTTTTTCTACAAGGGTGAAACAATTTAAAATTCAGTCGTAGTCTTGCTCAATATTATAAATGCGCATGCTTACTTATGAAAGATTTCTATTTGTCTTTCCCAGCTTAGGTCACCTCAGTCTAACCAGTTCAATATCAGGCACTTTCACCCTCCCCCCGGGCCAGCATTCAGCTCTGTCACAATTTGAATGACAATTGAGCAGTCATGCAACACTGTACACATATGACATTTTTATGAGATGGATAGAGCTTTTTTTTGATGGTATTTATTCACCACGGGGTTTATTTTTTGCTTAATGACAAAAGGCTGAACATATTGAAAAAAAAGCTGTGTTATAAAATTCAGCAAATAAGTAATTTTTCTCCTTCACTGATATGCACTCATGAGGCTGCACTGATGGGGCAGCACAGTGGCTAAATGGTTCGTTCTTCCCCCTGGCAGTACTAGGGTCGTTGATTCGAAAATCAACCACGGCACCAGCTGCCTGGAGTTTGCATGTTCTCCCTGTGCCTGTGTGGGTTTCCTCTGGGTACCTCTCACACTCCAAAGACATGCTGGTAGGTTAATTGGATCCTGTCTAAATTGGCCCTAGTATGTGTATGTATGAATGTGAGTTAGGGACCTTAGATTGTACGCCCCTTGAGGGTTAGGGACTGATGTGAATGTACAATATATATAACAGATAATTTATAATACCGCAGGAATTGTTTGGACTGAGTGCCGATTCACACATGTGATTGAAGCTCAGGTTTCACATCTGATTGATACAGTAGTTTATTGGTTCAGGTCAGGTATAGATTGGGTTCAGGTCAAGATTTTATCCCGTTCACAACTGATGAAATGTGCGGTTTAGAAGCGGCTCCCATAGAAGTCAATAGCCTGTAATCCACACTTAAACCGGACCGCACTGCTCAGAAATAGGACAGGACTCTCTCAACCTGCACTGAATCCACACCGCCAGTGGACCAGACACATGTGAACAGGCACCATAAGAAGCAATGTTATTTAACATGTCATGCAGATTGGACGCAGTTCAAACCACATCCAATCCATATATATGTGAACTAACACTGAGGGTAAGGGTAGAGGCGGTGGACACCAGAATGTTTTCACATGGTGGAGAGAAGTTTGGCACAATATTTTGTTTATGTGAGCATGATTATTTGGTTTTTAACCACTTGCCGTCCAGCCACTGTATATAAAACGGCCGGACGGTGGCAGTCCAGGCGCGGGTTGCTGTTCATAAATGGCGCACGCCATTTTGGACTGTGCGTGCTCCCTGGGAGCGCGCAGCACTGCGATCCGGTGGCCGCTGCGTCCTGCAGACACAATGGAACACCGATCGTCGTACCTCTGTGCGAGGTCCCCGATCATGTGATCACCGATTGGCCAATCAGTGATTACATGCAGAGTAGTAAGCAAGATGTCACTTCTGACATCATTGCTTACTACTCGTGAAATCTGTAAATGATCACAGAGGTCACATAGTACAAGGCTATTCACAACAGCCTCGTACCATGTGACAAGCTGTAACCAATCACAGCTCACTCACTATTTCTCAATGAGTGCAAGAATGCAGCTAGAGAGAAGGAGAAATGATTGCTTTTACAGCCTCTATGGGTGTAAAAGCAATCAGTGTAAAAAAAAAAAATAAAAAATATCATCACCCCCCACAAGTAGTACAGTGTCACCATGGTGACATTGTACTGCTAGGAGTGACACTATGTTAACCTCTTCATGCTGGCCGAACGCAAATGTGCAGTTTCCTGGCATCTGGACCTAGATGCTGAGTGGCTGCTCATTTGCGTTCTATTAAAGAACATGTGTGCTGAGAGCGCGCTCCCAGCACACATGTCCGGTACTCACAGAAAGGTCCCGATCTCCTCTTTCGATCTGGACCTTTACCGATCATGTGATCCCGCCCCACTTCCCGGCTTCTGAAACCCTTAAAGGGCCAGGAGGCACCGGCGCGAAGTAGTGCAGTATGTAGAAAAAAAAAAAAACCCAAATATATATATATATTAAAAAAGTAATATTTAAAAAAAAAAAAAAAAAAAACATAATTATAAAAAAAATATATATATATATATATATATATATATATATATATATATATATATATATATATATACATATATACAATTTTCTGTTATAAACTAACTTGGGTTATTTTTTGTTTTACTAAAAAGATAACAGAATAAATTTTGGCCAAGATTTATGATGAAATGTTATTTGCAAAATTTTATAAGAAAAACACTTTTTTTACAAAATGTTTGGACTTTTACATTTTTATATAGCAAAAAAAATAAAAATCCCAGCGGTGAATAAATACCACCAAAATAGTTTTAGCTGTCTCAAAAAAAATGCTAAAAAATTCCTATGGGTACAGTGTTGCATGACCGCGCAATTGTCATTCAAAGTGTGATAGCGGCGAAAGCTGGAAATTGGCCTGGACAGGAAGGGGGTAAAAGTGTCCGGACTGGAAGTGGTTAATACTTCATTAATCATAAAAGAGTGCACTGTATGCGATTTACATTGTTTGCATGGTGGGAGAGAACCACGTTGGAATCGAACTGAACATCCACACACTAGAAAAAACAAAGTATATGGATTGAAGGGCTTTACTCGCTTTATCTGGTGAGAACACGAGAACATAATCATTCAAAATGAGGACGTTTTCCTGCGACTTTGGAGAAACTGTGGACTGTACTACAAGCCCTGGTTACTTCTATAATATTTGGATTCTAGTGTATGCCCAGCATGAATCATTAAAGTTCTCCTTTACTGAGCAGGCTTTTTAACAATTGTAATGCTGACCTAAAGATAAATATGAACCCTTTTCCCATTGGCCCTAATGCTGGAGAGGCATGTTATTGGCTGGCACAGTGATCACATCTTCGGGACGCCATCCTACTGGCTCCTGATCGTCATGGTGACAGGTCTTGTGACAACGCGCTCACAGCACAAAGCAGCAACACAATTATTCTCTTTATGGTTGAACTGGATGGACTTTTGTCTTTTTTCAGCCAGACTAACTATGTAGCACATTTATAATAAAAAGAAGGGAGAGCCGCTTGCCATAAAAGCCAATCCAGGTTTATGGAAGCAAAATCAATGCACTGACATTCACCTGGTGCTAGAGCGCTACCAACGCGCTTCACTACTCAAAGGAGTGTATAGAGTCTATGATTAACCACTTGCCTACCGGGCACTTATACCCCCTTCCTGCCCAGGCCAATTTCCAGCTTTCAGCGCTGTCACACTTTGAATGACAATTGCGCGGTCATGCAACACTGTACCCATATGACATTTTTATCATTTTTTTGTGACAGACAGAGCTTTATTTTGGTGGTATTTAATCACCTCGGGGTTTTTATTTTTTTCTTAAACAAACTAAAAACCACTGAAAATTTTGAGAAAAAAAAAACAAAAACACATTTTTTCTTAGTTTTTGTTATAAAAGTTTGTAAATAAGTGATTTTTCTCCTTCACTGATGTGCGCTAATGAGGCTGCAGTGATGGGCACTGATAGGCCGCACTGATGGGCATTGACAGGCATCACTGATGGGCATTGACAGGCATCACTGATGGGCATTGACAGGCATCACTGATGGGCACTGGCAGGCACAGATATGTGGCATTGATGGGCACAGATATGTGGCACTGATGAGCACTGACAGCTGGCACTGATGGACACTGACAGGTGGCACTGCTGGGGCTACACAGATCATCAGGGCACACTGATCATCAGTGCTCTGATGATCTGTGTACATGTCCCTTCTGAGGAATGCCAATTACCGTGACAGCTCGTGAGGAAAGAAATGCCAATAACCGGCATTTCCCTGTTTACATGTGATCAGCTGTGATTGGACACAGCTGATCACATGACTGAGCCGACATCTTCGCCTCTTTCTGTTGATCAGTGATCTGCTGTGTCCGAGGGACACAGCACACCGCTGATCGCCACGCATGCGCAGTTAGAATGGGAGGACGTCATATGACGTCCTCCCAGAACGAGAGAACCGCCTTGCGTCCGTCATTTTACTATATGGCGGGCGGGAGGCGGTTGAGCTCCCTTGAGGGGTGAAACGTGTTGGAGCCATTCTAGCACTAGAAGAATGTTGTTGCATTGACTTGGCTTCTATAAACAAGCGGCTTTCCCTTCCTTCTCTTGATTACATGAGTGCTGCATGCTTAGTGGTTCACAACCGAAGACAGCCTGCTCCAGCTGTTGGGAAACGAGAGGAGAATGGAATGTGGACCGAGCACAGAATAAAGGCCACCTCCATGCTCCCACATACAAGTGTATGGCCATTGGGACAGGGGTTAAGATTCCAGCCTTCTGCTGCTTCCTGGAAGACGAGAGATGCATTACAGGCCTCTTGGTGCCGGCCGCATGCAAATGTGCGGCCCTCCCGGCGTCTGGGCCTTGACTCCAAGCAGCCACACATTTGCGTGCAATTAAGAAAAACATATGTGCTGAGAGCACATGCCCTGTGAGCTCCCAGAACACATGTCCGGTACTCACGGAAAGTCCCCGAACACCTCTTTCGGTCAGGACCTTTCCCGATCATGTGACCGCCCTGACGGGGTGTCACGGTGGTCACATGACCCTAAACCCCGCCTCCTGAAACTCTTAAAGGGCCGGGAGGCGCCGGCGCCAAGGGGGTTAACCATCTCTGCTCTGACACATCAGACCTCCTCACCTCATTGCATCCACTAGGCGGCTGGCAATGGCCTTTCTGCGCATCAGTGCAAAGACCCAGATTCTGCTGATCCCGCAAATGGCCGGTTCCGCGTCAGAGGAGCATCGCCAAGCTCTGTGTCGCTCCAAAGCATCCTCATGCGGAGACTTCACCTCCGGGAGTGGCTCAGGCAGAACTCTAAATGCCTGCAAAGAAATAGATGGAAGTAGGCAATGACCATGTTGAAATAGATAAAAAAAAAAATAATAATAATTTTCATATTTCCCCATATTTACTCGATGGCATAAAAATAATTATCAGGCAACATAGCCTGGTGAAGAAAACCTTTTTATAAGCCACCTTTCAGACCCCCTCCCACTCATAAGAATTGGATTTTTGTACTCATTGGAAAATTCTTTTTTTGGAGCACATTGAGCCTAGGTGCACACTCACGCGGTGTGGGATTCCTGTGCGTTTCCCACGCCGCATCACAATCACTCCATTCATGTGAATCGCTGCAGGTGTCAATGTTAAGTTAAAGCGGAGCTCCAGCCAAAAGGACTGTTCCCCCCACTCCCCGTTAAGGATTGGCACCTTGGGGGAGCGGGTACCCGATAATTGACAGGTACTCGCTCCCACTTCCGCTGCGATCACCTAGGCGATCAGAAGCAGAAGTCATCCCCCCGTAGTCTTCTGAAACACGTGACAGGTCCCAGGAGACTACAGGACCATTCACAAAGCGCAGCGCTACTCACGCATGTGTACTGGACACCCGGCCGAAAAGCTGCAAGCTGTCACAGCCGGGTGCCCACACTGAAGATGCCGGCACCAGGAACACAGGGTGGCCAGTGAAACAAGCTGCATGAGACACCATGGGATCAAGGGACAGGTAAGCATCCGTTTTTTTAAGTCAGCAGCTACAGTTTCTGTAGCTGCCAACTTATTTTCACTGGAACTCCGCTTTAACAACACCTCAAAATGGTTTGCAAAACACACTGTGATTGGCTGAATCGGATTGCATGGGATCTGATTCCAGTACAGAAGGGGGGAAAAAAAAAAAAAAAAAAAAGGGGTGCATGCACCTTTCCCATGCGGGTGTGGTGCTATTGATTCATACAAAATGAATGGGCTCAAATGGCACTGCAAAGAATTGCATGTGCTTTGAACAGGAATGCAGTGCGATTCCCGTCCGAATCACATGCAGATCCTCACACAGCATCAGTGTGAACCTAGGCTCAGGGATGTGTTTATTTTATTTTTTTATATTATTTATTTTTTTAACCCCTTCGCGCCGGCGCCTCCTGGCCCTTTAAGGGTTTCAGAAGCCAGGAGGCGGGGCGGGATCATATGATCGGGAAAGGTCCAGATTGAAAGAAGAGATCGGGACCTTTCTGTGAGTACCGGATATGTGTGCTGGGAGCACGCTCTCAGCACACATGTTCTTTAATAGAACGCAAATGAGCGGCCACTCGGCATCTAGGCCCAGACGCCAGGAAACCGCACATTTGCGTTCGGCCAGCATGAAGAGGTTAACATACTGTCACCCTAGCAGTACAATGTCACCATGGTGACACTGTACTACTTGTGGGGGGTGATGAAGATTGTGTAAAAAAAAAAAAACAGATTGCTTTTATACCCATAAAGGCTGTAAAAGCAATCATTTCTCCTCCTCTCTGGCTGCATTCTTGCAACCATTGAGAAAATACTGCGTGAGCTGTGATTGGTCACAGCTTGTCACATGGTACAAGGCTGTTGTGAATAGCCTTGTACCATGTGATCTCTGTGATCATTCACAGATTTCACTAGTAGTAAGCAATGATGTCAGAAAGTGACATCTTGCTTACTACTATTCATGTGAAAACTGATTGGCCAATCAGTGATCACATGATCGGGACCTCACACAGACGTCCTGTACAGCGATCGGTGTTCACGCACAGGCAGGGAATGTGGGAGGACATTTATAAACGGCCACCCACTTTTGCACTGCTCCCATCTGGCCGTTTATGTACATGGACCGGAAGGGAAGTGGTTAAGCAAAGCGGACAGAGTATGCTGTGCTCTATGGGCGGCTGGGATGGGCAGCTGGGAATAAATGAACTACACCCAACTACTTCCGATCCAATTTTTTTTTTTTTAAAGGACCCAGAGGTAGGTGGGTGTAAACAGACACAAGTCCATTTACACCTGCCTGTCCATAAAGATGAATATTCTTCAATTAAAAAAATATATAGGAGAACTGTCTCAGGTCAATTCACATACATAAACTCCAATGCGTGTGAATGCATCCGGAGTGCGTTTGTGGTGCGAACTGGCCCAAAAAAACAAAAACAAAAAAAAAAAAAAAAAAACAGCCACCTCTGCCTGCAGCCTTTCAACATCCAGGATTTCTGTCTGGGTATAGAAGTAGAAAGGAAAACCTCTCATATTCCGAGTCTTGGCCTGGACATGGTAGCTGGAACAGGAGGTCAGCTCAACATGCACTAAATTCTAGATTGAGTCACTGGTCACAGTGCGCAATTTCAGGTGCAATTTCTGAAGACTTTATTGCTACTTGTGAAGATTTTCAACGATTTCTTGCAATTTGCAGTGTGATTTCCATTACATTCTATGTATGTGAAATTGCAACAAAAAAGGTGTAGAAAAAGTAATGCAAGAACTAGTTTAGAAATCGCGCTGCAGCAAATCGCACGTTAAGACTGACATTCAGATTAATTAGATGCGATATAAATTCGCACCGCTATGACCTAGCACTTACGCCCCGGTCATACCAATCCCAACTTTGACATTGTGTGACTTACAGTGAAGTTGCACAATCTCAAAGTCGGGTGACATGCCGATTTCAGGTGTGAATTGCAAGACATCTGACACAGATGTCTATGCAAATCGCACCAAAAGTAGCGCATGCGTTGCTTTAGAAAATCGGTGCGGCTCTGACCAAGTTGGAATCACACGGAGATGACCGCAGTAATTGCAGACAACAGGGTGCGACTTGAAAGTCGTATGGCATACAAATCGCATGCCAATTTGCACCCAGTGTGATTGGGACCTTATGAACTAGAAGGACTGAAAGAAGTCATTAATACACCACAGTCCAAACCCACCTGTCTGATTGACTCTGCGATCAGACATCCGACAATCTTCTTATCGTTGGACACAAATAGATAGGTCTTGGTTTTGCTTGGAAAAATCAGATTGGTCTGCTGAAAGCCGAGTTCCGAGTCTACCAGCTCCCGCACTTCCTCCGCCTAGTGAAAGTATAAATCATTTAGAAAAAGCATGAGCATTAAAGCTGCAGTTTAATCTCATGTTACCCCGGTTCCCTCCTCCCCATCAACATGGTAAAGAAACTTTGAAACAAAACCTGTTTTCATTACATACCTTATTTCAGACCCGCTGATGTCATCACTGGGTCTCGGTGTCTCTCTATGCAATGCAGGCAGATCATAGTTGGTGGGAGGGGCTGGCGTGGTGTTGCACATAGCTTCCTGAAAACATCACAGCACCCAGCCTCAGTACTCAAGAGCCCTCAGTCTTGATGCAGACAGTGAGCTGGCTTTTGGGAGAAGCTAAGCAAACATCAAATTGGTGGACGTCATTCTGAAGGAGTTAGTACTCTTAGGGCTTGGTCACACTTGACTTCTTCCCAAACGCCCCTATAGCGATTGACAGGTGTTTGGGGAGCGTTTTTAAAACTCATTAAAAACACTCCCCAAACACCCTACCCATATGGAAGAAAAATATATTTAAAAAATATTCTTCCCAAATATAATGCCATAAATTTGAAATTCTGGATGGAGATTATATATATTATATCTATATATACATACATCTATATCTCTAGCTCTCTATACACACATTATATATATATATATATATATATATATATATATATACATACACACACACACACACACATATATACACTGCATGTTGAAATGTGTTTATTACAAAATATTTCTAAAAATAAATTTCAAATATATTGTATGTCTTTAAAAATACAAATCTACATTTTTGGAATGTATGTAAAAATATATGTTAAAAAACTTTTATATGTTAACAAAAAAAAATAGATAAACAAATAAAAAAATCAAAATATATTTCAAAAATATATATTTTTTTAAATATATTCTTCAGATTTTTTTAACATAAAGTCATCTTAACATATATTTGTAAATGCATTCCAAAAATATGGATTTGTATTTTTAAAGACATGCAGTATATTTGAAATGCGTTTTTTATTACAAAATATATGAAACATTTTTAAAAATACATTTCAACATGCAGTGTGTGTGTGTGTATATACATACAGTTGTGTTCAAAATAATAGCAGTGTGTTGAAAAAAGTGAATAAAGCTGAAAATCCTTCTAATAGCTTTTATTTCCATCCACACAAATGCATTGGGAACACACACATTCTATTCCTAATCAAAACATGAAGAAAAATAGATCAAATTTGTGTTGTTCCTCTAAAAACAATTGAAGAAAAGTGAATATTAGACGGTTCAAAAAAATATCAGTGTTTGTATTCTTCTTTACAAACTCAAACATTCACTATATAAACTGAAAAATGTTTGAAGATTTTGCTTTCCTTTGAATGACTTCATGAATATTTGGTTGTAGTCGCACTGTTTCTGAGAACTGCTGTACATCTGTGTTGCATGGAGTCACCCAACTTCTGGCCCCTGTGATCAGGTATTCCAGCCCAGGATGATTGGACTACATTCCACAGTTCTTCTCTATTTCTTGGTTTTGCCTCAGAAAACTGCATTTTTGATGTCACCCCACAAGTTTTTCTATTGGATTAAGGATCCGGGGATTGGGCTGGCCACT